CGGGCCTGGATCCACCCAGAGTCCGGGTGCCAGCGGGGAGCCCTGTGCTCATGGCTCTGCCGGGGTGATGCTGAGGGTGGGGAAGCAGGACTCGGGTGGTGACCGGCTCTGGCTCAGAGCGCCTACACTCACCTTGGGCTTAACATCTGAATGATGTGGAGGGAGGGGCCGCACAAGACAATTGTGTCTAGGGTCGGGGGGGTTGTTATCGGGGCCGAAATGCTTTCCACGTGCATAGATTTCAGGTTTCACCCAGAACGCCTCTTTTATATGCAATTGTTTCACTCAGATGTTTCACTCACGTGGCCAACCCCTGTGCGGACCTTGGATTTATGACAGTGGCATGCTGTAGCCCCACATGTAGCCTGGGCTCTTAGAGGTGGCGTTAGGCCCTCTTGACATCAGATCCATCCCTGTCTTAGGTGAGAGGTCATCAGCTTCTATTGAACAAATCCAGTGACGGGGAGCTTAGTCCTCCCCAGGCCCCATGGAGACAGCTGGAGCCGTTAGACATGCCTTTCTCACCCGCAGTGTGAATCGGTGACCCTGCGACTCTTCCATCCAGATGTGTGAGTTTCTCTTCCCTGTCCCACGGTGATGTTGAGAGACAAGAAGACATCGATTCATTTCCCCTAAATCCTTTCCTTTCCAGGCCAAACAGAGGCCGCTAGCACCTCTTAAAGTTTAATGTGCAAACAAATCACTGGGGAATCTTCTGAAAATGCAGATGGAGAGTATGGATTTCTAACAAGCTCCCTGGTGATGTGGCGGTTCCATGGACCCCACTTAGAGAAGCATGATTGGGGGGATGAGTTCCTGAGTGGGCCCCTCACTTGGTGACTGTTGACTGAGGGGAGTTACTCCACGTCCCAGTGCCTTTGCTTCCTTGATGGTAACATGAAGCTAATGAGGGCACCTCTCGTGGGTTTGCGGTGAGGACCGAGGTCAGACTCGAATCTCCTCATTCAGGGGCTGGCACAGGGCGTCCGATGGACCACGTGAGCTCTTAGTCATTTTCCGCTTAGCAGCCCCAGGACCTTTGACTGTTCCCTCGAGTTGCTCTGCATTTATGTCCCCTCCCCAAGAGACACTTGGAAGGGCCGTAACTCACAGAAAGGGCCAGTGCACTAAACAGAAGATGCAGGTGTGACCTTTACCTACAATCTTCCCAAACAATATGTTCACAACTCTCACCACTATCCTATTAAACACAATGGTAGGACTAGCGGTTTTAATGGTCAACTCACATGAGTGAAATTTCAATTCAGAAGCTGAAGGCCATATTAACAAAGGTCTATCCTGCCAGGTTACCCTGGTTCCACTCCTGCACTGATTAGAATTGCTAAACCCATACACTTTGAGAAGGCAAGACAAATCTACTAGTATTTAACACATGTCATCTTTGTTTGACAGACAGATTAAAGGTGGGGAAATTCTTGTTTCTTCATAAGCTGATGTACTACTCTGTGTGTTTCCTGGTTCAGCTCAGGTGCCATTTCCATAGGAAGCCGTTTTGCCTTCCAGGCTGAGTCAGAGGCTCCCCTGATCATCCTATTAGATCACTTACCGTGTGGGACTGTAATCATCTTTCTTCTCTGTTAGATTTTAATTTCCTGAGCATAGAGACCAGATCTTTTTATCATGGTTCTTTGGTGCCCAGCCAAGTGCCCAGCACGGAGCAGGAACTCTGAAAATGTTTGTAAAGGGAGGGAGGGAAGAAAGGGTTAAAAAAAAAAAGGAAGGAGGAAAGGAGGAAGAGGGGAGGAGGGAAGGGGGCATAAATGATCCTCTCCAACCCCAAACCAAAAAAAAAAACAGAAAGAGAACGTCATTTGCAAATGAGTTGGTCTTCAGTGACTTTGGTCCTGTGGAGGCATCACTGCTTCTTTGGAACTTAGGCACTTTGCTGTAAGTGATGGAGACCTTCTTGCCAGCTGACTTGCTGGGGAGCCAGGTGTCCAAGGGATCTTTCTAGATTTGTGAGTGGATGCTGCCTCCTGCCAGGCATCTCATTCCTCTTTTATATCCATAGGGGCAAAGAGGACTGGGGAGTTGACTTTGGTCTCCAAATATCTTCCTTTACATTTTTAGCTCCATCAATAGCCCTGCTCATATTGCTTCTAAGACAGAAGATAACTGGTCCCCAAACATAGGATCCCTTTATGTAAAATATATTTTTCCTTGTGGGGACATAGCTACTGTAACTATGGTTAATTTTTTTAAACTCAGGGACTCTGCTTTTGTTAGGCAATTCTTTTCCTGGGCCCCGAGAATTTTAAAAAGTGCTATTACTTTTCCTTTTTTGTAAGATGAACATAGGTGACAAGATGCTTGGTGCTTTGGTGACAATCACCAAAAATCACAGCAGTGCTCTCTTCACTCACACCCAAGGGAGTGACTTGTGGGAACAAGGTTTCTCAGACAATGACCTGCCTGAATGCCTGGCTGGCCATCTAGCTGACTGACCAGGCATTGACAAATCTACCAGCATCAGGCTAGGGGACTTGTGTGGCATTTTCATGTGAAATTAAGGCGCAGCTGCACTCACTGGGAAATAAACAGGTAGAAAATCCTGAATTCAGATCATGACCGAGAATATGTTCAGTATTTCTGTGAGTCTGGGACTGGGAGGGCTGAGGTGGGAAGCCCCATGAAAAAGACGGCAGGATTCCCAGGCAGGGCCACTACTCTCCTGCCAGCACCATCCGGTTGTTTCCCTGGCCCAGCGGCATTATCTTGCTCTTTGCCTCTGAAATGGCTTGCTTCTAGGAAAGTGGAACTTACCCCTAAGATTCTATT